ACACAGGCACACATACACACAGAGAGACAGAAAGAGGGATAGGGTGAGAGAAAGAGAGAGGGAGAAAGAGAGATAGAGGGAGAGAGAGGAAGGAGTAGAGAGAGGGAGAAGGACAGAGAGGAAGAGGGAGAGATACAGAGAGAGAGGGAGAGAGAAAGAAAGAGGGAGAGGGAGAGAGGCAGGTAACTCAAAGAGCACATGGCCACACCATAGATTAGCAAGGCAAGTGTGTCAGTCTAAGCAAAAAATGGTTACACTGAGGCAAAATGTGAACTAAGTTTATTCTAATTTTCTTGGGGTCCCTCCTTTTAGAGATGGAGTACTCCAAGTAGACTTGTGAGGGAGGAGACAGCTGCATATTCAAGTCTGAACTTCGTGGGTAGAGCTAGGCTAGAGATAGGACCTTGTGGTGCATCAGCAGGTATCTATATCTAGTGCATCAGCAGGTATCTATGTCTAAACCCTTGAGACTAGGGGACATCTTCAAGGAAGTGAATGTAGTCAGAGATATCTAAGAACTGAACCCTGGGGAGTCCAACATCGAGAGGACAAGATCCAGCAAAGGAGATCAAGGAAGAGTGGTTAGGGTGGGAGAAGCGTGTTGTTTCCAGAGGGAAGGTGAGGTCCTCTGTGTCAGGTTTGACCAGTAGGACATGAGATGTATTAGAATTGGCAGTTGGAGTGAGAGGTGGGAGAAGTCACAACAATATCGTGGCTGCTTTGACAAAAGCCTGAATGGAGAATTTTCAAGAGAAAAAGGGAAGGAAAAGCAAAAACATTGAGTATTGGTCTTAAGATTTGCAGCCTGTTGCCGGGCGTGGTGGCTCACGCTTTTCATTGGGAGGCAGAGACGAGAGGATTGCCTGAGGCCTGAGCTCAGGGGTTCGAGACCCACCTGGGCGACAGAGTGAGATTGCGACGCAAAAAAAAAAGATTTGCTGGCTGGCCAATCTGGGACCAGTGCACTGTTTGCAACATCCCTTAAAAAGTCTATCTCTTACTGGATTATAAGCTTCTTGCAGGACTAGGAACAAGATCTATCTTTCAAATGCTTTGCACAAGGTTGGTGTTTAAATAGCAATTGCAGGAATTAAATTGTTTAAAGAAAAGAGACATTCTCCTTAAATCTTATGGCATGGCATGGGTGACTCTTCACCCACCCCCTGCCCCACTCAGCACTGAGACTTCTCTGCCAGTATTGTGTGAATAATAGAAACTTAGCGGGTCTTATTTTTAACCAACAAAGGTCAAGTTTTCATTAGGTGATCATTTTGTGTGTGTGATGAATATTTAAATGCAGGTCTTACAGCTCTGGCTCAGTTATTGCGAGGAGAAAAAAAAAAAATTCATCCCTGCCAACACGCTGGTTTGTGTGAATCCCAGCTCTGAGAAACCTTTCAGGCATATAATTTATCTTTTCTTTGGCCTATGTAGTAAATGCTTCATTTGTTCATGAATTCTTGCCTTGTTTTAATTATGCTATGCTGTGAATGTAGTTTCATAAGGCACAAAAATAAGATTGTCGTTCGGAAAACACAGAAGATTTGTGTGTTTCTCCTAGAATGAAATGGTGGCATCTTTCTCCCAGTTTGCAGCTCTGTGGGTTTGTGGTTGGAATTCCAATCCAGCACGGAGCATGCAGTGAACTTCAGGGGGAAGGGCTGGGGGGGGCGGCAACTGACACGGCTGAGTCCAAGGCATAATTTACCTTAAGAATTCTGAATCAATACACTAACGCCCGTCAATGCATAACATGGTACTCCCACCAAGAAAGCCACTGATTGAGAACTTTTATTTGTGTTCCTTTCTGAGGGCTGAATTCTTTCATTACACTTAGAGAACAATTGGATTTTTTTCCCCCAAATACAGAACTGTGCAGCCGGCAATCAGATAAGAAATCTTAACAATCAGAAGGCTGTTTTGTTGTTGTTGTTGTTGTTAAAATTTCTTGCAGACATATGTATCTGAATATCCACAAATACACAAGCTGAAGGAGAAATGGCTATTTCATAACTTCTCTGTGTTTTATTGGTGTATGGTACAAAGTGGACACTCAGTATTTCAAATTTGAATCTCTCCGACTCAAGATGGAAATGTTTAATGTGATAAACTTAGACGCAGATTTGACTGAATCTGAGTGAGCCAACTCACTTATTCAGAAAGGAAGACAGGTTGCAATTTTCAGATCTTCTGAGAGATTATTATAACTTCAAAATACTACACCTAGGCTTGGCTATATCAGATATTTGCCGTGTTCCCAACACAAGCCCTCGTCTTCTGACACAAATCTCATTTTGAAACTCATTTCACTCAGAGTGAGGTGCTGTTCCTAAGACTTCTTTTTTCAATAAAGGAAGCTGAATTATTAAAGCACAACTCTAAAATCTTTCCTCATTTTTCTTAGACTAGAAATGGATTGCGTATGTTGGAGTTTTATGGCTAAATACATTAGAGGGTTGGTTTTCCGAAGGTGAACTGGTTTACTTAATTAAGGTGGGGATTTAGATGAGTCACTAGACGCCTGTCCAAGATGGGTAAAGTACAGTCCTTCAATGTCTGCCCATAAATAACTCAATAGAGGCAGGGAATGGTGGCTCATGCAAGTAATCACAGTGCTTTGGGAGGCTGAGGCGGGAGGATAGCTTGAGGCTGGGAATTTGAGACCAGCCTGGGCAACATAGTGAGACCCCTGTCTCTTCAAAATATAATTTTAAAAAACTTAGCTGGGCATGTATGTGCCAACTTGGGAGGCTGAGGCGAGAGGATTGCTTGAGCCCAGGAGTTTGAGGCTGCAGTGAACTATGATCACACCACTGCACTTCAGTCTGTAAGACCTTGTCTCAAAACCCACCAAACAAACAAAACACCAAGACAAGAACAATAACAACAACAAAACTCAGTCTTTAACTCAGGCCAGGGATAGGCTTTGAATGTCTATACCAAAAATAAAATAAAATAAAATAAGATAAAATAAAATCTGACTATTAAAAAATCCCAATCTCAGAATTGCTTTAGGAGCCTATGACCAGTAGTGACACCTTCACAAGAGTCACCCCACTCAAGTTGTGACAGTTTCTCAAATATTCTTGAATATGAATGACCAGACAAGTAAATTTCAGGCTCCAGGTTCATACATTTGCTGGAAGTTTCCCTGGGTCAGCCGGGGTCATTCTCCCGGGCCTGAGGACTCTCCCCAACACTCTGTCCTTCCAGCTGAGCACCTGGCACCCTGTGTTGCAATGGCAGGTTTGTTTATTTGCCTTCTCACTGATCAGTAAACTCCATGGGGGCAGAGACTATGTCTTGTCTACCAATGGGGTCCCTGACTCCCCTGTGCCTGGCACCCATCATGTTCAGTAGAGAATGGATGCCTGGAGACTTACTTTTGAATCACACAGAAAGTCATTCAACTGACTCCTTGAGCTGATGCATTTTGGGAATGTGCATTGGAAGGGAAATGTGTTAAACCGCTGAAGGAAATTTTTTTTTTTTTTTTTTTGAGTTGGAGTCTCACTCTGTCATCCAGACTGGAGTGTAGTGGCAGCTCCCGGCCACCGCAGCCTCAACCTGCTGGGCTCCGGCGATCCTTCCGCCTCAGCCTTCCGAGTAGCTGGAATTACAGGCAGGTGCTACCACGCCCGGCTGATTTTTTGATTTATAGTAGAGATGAGGTCTCGCTGCCCAGGCGGGTCTCGAACCTGTGGGCTCAGGCAATCCACTCACCTCAGTCTCCCAAAGGCGTGGGATTACAGGCTGAGCCACCAAGCCCGGCTAGGAAATTTTAAAAAGAAGCTCTTTGCATGAAAATGTATAGAAACAGCAAGAATGCTGACAGAACGTGGTAAAAACATGAGCCTTATTCTCTTTTCCCAATTTTTACGTCTGGAGTTCTCAGCTGGTATCCAGTATTCACAATATAATTCTTAAGGTCCTGGATGCATTAAGACCACAGATTAATGGAATACTTATTTTCATTGAAGGAAATAACTTAGGTACAGTGCTTAGAACAGGGGCTGGCATACTGTAAATGTTCAAGAAATGATAGCCAGTGTATTTATCAGCATCTTGTCAATGCATAGTTACTTGGTTATTGAGACAAATTTATTGACAGCACAACCATGTGATAAAAAATGGCCATTTAATTTTTTTCCTGGTTGTAAACTCAACTAGAGGCACTTAACTTTATTTCCAAGTTTTGAAAAATCTTGTTACTTAAAAGTCTGTTAGCCAAGGAAATGAGTGCCTTAAAAATGTAACGTATCAAGTTTTATTTCCTTCTTCATTTAAGGAGTTCTGTTTGAGCCCTGAATACAAACAAGTTCTCTCAAGGTTAAAAGCAAAAATGCTCTTTTTAGTGTCAAAAATAGCTTGCCTTTCTTTGCTCAGGAAAGAAAGCAACTGATTCAGGACACTTCCTTTGAAAGAAAAAAATCTGGTTTTTACAAAGGTATTACTCCAGCTTCTTGGGAAAGAATTAGTACATAAAAGGGTCTGCTTGGAGCTGTAAAATCTCTTTAGTCAAACCCACACTTTAGTGCAAAAGATAGTTAAAGATCAATCTAGGCTATTAACAGTAAGAAATGAAGTGTGTCTCCATGAAAGCCTGTAACTGTGTAGCATGTCAGCATACTACAGAGACCAGGCAGAGTCTTTTAGGAACCATTTTTAGTCCACTAAAACCTTTTCCTCCAGAACCCATTGAGTCATAAATGCAAGACTACTTCCACCTTTGAAAATCGGGAGGACCAATTCATCTGTCTGTAATTCACCTCTTCTTTCCTTTTGCTTAAAACAGATGCCACAGCTGTTACTGTTCTTTAAACAGATGTGTCTGTCCATCGGGGCAACAGTCTGCTGCATTGTGTTATCTGTTTTAGAGGGGTCAACACTTGCCATCTTGTCTAGGGCTCAGGGTGACTGCACATGTGCAGTGGCCTAACCCCACAAGTGTCCCCTGAACATGCATAAGGAGCCGGATGGAGAGTCCCTCGTACACTTACCTCCCCATCAGGGACATCGTTGGACAGCCCTGATGACCCAGGAGCCCTGTCCCCCTCGTCTGGATGCTCTGCCCTCTTGGTTTCCTGTTGGCTGTCAATGGGCGCCTTTTCTTGTCTCTTGTCCAGCTTGAAGATTTTGTCAAAAAAGCTGGAGTCCTTGGGCTTGGAGGGGGCTGCTCCCCCTGTCTCAGGTGGGAGTGATGCAGGGTCCCCCGTGGCAGAAAGGGCCTTCTCCTGGGCCAGTGGGTGCCCTGGGGTTTTATCGGCGTCCTGTCCCAATGCAGCTGCCACCGGAAGTGCCCAGTGCTCACTCGGGTCTTTGTTTGCTGGAGCGTTATTGGAGCTGACATCAAGCCTCACTGATCCAGTGGATGAATCTGTGGCTTGGTCTCCGGTACGTACTGGTACAGGCCGAGAGAGTGTCAAGAAAAAACGAGATTTAGCAGCTGGTGCTTCGGGTTTGGCATCTGTCCCAAGATTCTTTCTGTTGGCATCCGCCACAGGGCTTATCTCCATTGTCTTGGGGGAAGAAGTGGCCACATTATCCCTCTTGACACTTATTCCCAAATCAACTGTAAACACAAACATAAACAGCAATTATTCAGCCGAGCTGGGAAATTCAGGGATTGATAATAGACTCCAAATGTTTTATATACAGAGGCCATAAAGCATACTGGGGCTGTGCTGTTCTCTGGTCACCCTGCAAAGCAGAAGTTAGCTATCTAGATCTGCCTTTTGTCTCTGCTTTTCTTGGGAAAGGTCAGTGAGGAGGGAAAGCAAATGACTGGAAAACCACCAGCTGCCAGGTGCTGTACGACTGTCATTCAGTTATCTTCTTTTATCTTCACAAGAAGCACAGGGCCATCATTTCAACTGGGAGGCACTACAGCAGTTAAGAGGTTGGGTTTTGGTTGGGTGCAGTGGCTCATGCCTGTAATCTCAGCACTTCAGCGGGTCAAGACAGGAGGATTGCTTGAGCCTAGAAGTTTGGTGGCACACCTATAGTCACAGCTACTTGGGAGGCTGAGGAAGAAGGATCACCTGAGCCTAAGGAGGTTGAGGCTGTAGTGAGCTGTGATTGTGCCACTCCAATCCAGCCTGCAGGACAGAGTGATACCCCAACACTTTGTCTCTCTCTCTCTGTCTCTCTCTCTGTCTCTGTCTCTCTCTCTGTCTCTGTATGTCTCTGTCTCTGTCTCTCTGTGTCTCTCTGCCTCTCTCTCTTTCTCTCTGTCTCCCCCTCTCTGTCTCTGTCTCTCTCTCTCTGTCTCCCCTTCTCTGTCTCTGTCTCTCTCTCTGTGTGTCTCTCTCTTTCTCTGTATATATGAACTTGGGTCTAGAGCTAGAACAAGGTTTCTCAACCTCAGCACTATTGACATTTGGGCCAGATCATTCCTTGTTATGGGGGCTGTCCTGTGCATTGTAGAATATTTAGTGCATCCCTGGCCTCTACCCACTAGATGCCAGTAGCACCCCCCAGTTATGACAACAAAAATATCTCCATGTCCCCTGGGGGATAAAGTCACTCATGTTTGAGACCTACAAAGCTAGAATGCTCATTTAAATCCAAATTTCCATAGTTTTCTGGTAAAATGAGGCAAATAATAGAACCTACCCCATAACTCTGTTATGAAGATTACATGAGTTAATATTCTTAAAGCACTTAGAACAGTGCCTGGAATGTACTAAATGCTCAATAAACATCCATATGTTAGCTATTACCATTATTAATGCCCAAGAAAACCACAGCTAGAGAGGTCAATATACCTTCCCATGGCTGCCCAGAAAGCTGGTAAGTAGCAGAGTCTGGTTTGAGGTCGAAATCTGACTCCTAAATTCATGTTCTCTCTATCTTACCATAAGACTTATATTAGCATGGACTATTAAGAATACTCATAGATTTCAAAAAGTAATACCATACTCATATGTTTCTCTTTTGAAGCCTGGAAGAGTGGATGTTCACGCAAGAAGGCAAAATAGACCTCAGGCTGGTGTGGAATGAAAGACATGGATCAGCTGGCCAAGATGGTGGTGAAAGCAGCTCCGCCTCCTCCAGGGAGGGAACTGTTTCCAACAGCCATCCTTTCTCCTTTGACCTTGCTGTGATGTAATTGAACTGCCTTCTTTTTAAGGTCCCCTTTATAAAACAATGCAATATTCAGAAAAACACAAAACCAGAAATTTTGGAATCCCAGTTAAAGATGGAGACTTTCTCTGAATTCGCTGTGTGTGAGTCACCAAAAAGCTCTGAATATTCCCATATTACAATATTAGTAGCATCCTTTCTGGCTTGTGGCAATGCTTACAGAAGAAAACTCATGAAAAGCACCCTGCATGATGCCTTTTCCATAGTAGCTGCTTAATAACTGACAGACACTGTGGTTGCTTCCAGGTTTCTCCCATGCCTTTGACAACATTGCATTTTGCTTGATACATTTGTATTCAGACACTTCTTAATATTCATTTGTAGGAAGACAGAAAAAGAAAGGGAAAAATTGAGATTTCTTTGATCTGCTCATATTACTCATTAATATGGAGTGAGAAACACACACGTCTACACACATGCATCCGTCAGCAACTATTTTTGCCAGACTCTAGTATCTCAGTGTCTAGAGTCAAAAACAAACAGACAAGGAACGGGAGCTGGATTCTTATGCAGTATGGCGGTCTCCTGGTTAAGCCTTGAGGAGCAGAGAGAAGTGGCCCAAGACAAGCACTGGGACCAGTGCTGGGGGTTTCTCATATACCTGAACCTTGAGGAAGCCACCCAACCAGCATATTGGCCATATCTTCTGGCTCTTCTTAACTTTTTCTCTGTGCTCCAGGAATTCATAATGGTGGCAAATATTATATTGAAGAACAAAAAGACTGGGTGACTCACACCTGTAATTCCAGCACTTTTGGGGGGACTGAGGCAGAAGGATCCCTTGAAGTCTGGAGTTTGACACCAGCCTGGGAAACATAGCAACACCCCATTTCTACAAGAAATTAAAAAAAAAATTAGCTGAACATGGTGGCATGCACCTATAGTCTCAGCTACTCGGGAGGATCACCTGAGCCCAGAAGTTTGAGGTTGCAGTGAGCTATAATTGCACCAATACACTCCAGCATGGAGCAAAAAAGTGAGATCCTATCTCTAAGAAAAAAAAGAGACAATAATAAAATGATAGATGAATGTATCGAGGTACACATTAGCAAGTAAGGCAGTTGAAGTGTCAGAGTGAGTATAAATGGATTGTGGAGATGGTCCATACCAGGAGAAGAGGAAACAGATGACAAAAAAGGAAAGGCTAAAATTCAAAATGAAAGGACATAACATGGATTTAATATACCCAATGAGCAGCCATTTTAACATTTCCTAAATCTCATATTTTTCTAGTGGTTCACTTACCCTCTAATCACTAGCCAAGGACAGAACGGGTCTCTTGGAGGTAGCTATTGATAAATTTTTTACAACCTTCCTTCCCAGCTTGTTTTGTATTAATTAGCTTTTCTATTCCAAGTATTTACCTTCACCCATAAGACCCAAGTCAACCTAGTAAGCCTTTTGTGACTTTCATGACATGGACAGACCCCACCACCATGGCAGTAATCATGTGGCTAGCCCACCCATCTGCCTGGTGTCCAGCATCTGACGTCAGTTCCTGCACTTACCTGCCCTTTTATGATGATGTGGAGCAGACTACCACCCAGTCACTTTAATGACCTTCCCCCATCAAGGGGAAGGGTTAAAAGGACTCAACCATGAGCAGTCACCACCATTGCCTTGCTAAGCTATGGTATAGCCATGTGCTCTTTGAGCTGTGGCCAGGCCATGTTTTATTAAACTTTGGCCTCCTCCCCTATGTTGAGGAGGCGAATCTCCTCTTTCTTTCTCTCCTTCTATCTAATTTAGTTTTTAAATAATTATATTTCCTAACCTAACTTCTGTGTAATTTTTTGCATCTTTCTCGTGGCACCGGATTGCACACCAGATACCCATCCCCTGGTGGGCCTGACCTAACATTCTGGAGGCTCCACTGGGAGTGTGACCTAACACAAAACGGGGAAGAGATTTTTAAATGCCAAGAGCATTGACTGCTTCCTTTCAATCTTTTTTCTCTCTTCCTCTGGCTGAGTCTCAAAAAAACTAGTGGAAAGTACGAGTGTCTTAGCCAGAAGAAAAGTTTTTGAAAAACACACAAAACGGACAGACTTTTAAACATGTGCCAAGATACTGCTTTGAAAAAGGATAAGATCCTTAGATCAAGGTATCTGGACTGTCTTTAACACATTTGGAGATTTGAGCAGATCCAGGTAGTAGTTCTTGATATCAGAGAATAGGACACGTGCTTTTGACAGCCTGTGAGAAGTTACTCGAGTTCTTAGATGGTACATTCCATGACAACTCAAGTTTTACTCTCTAAACATGGGCAGGTGCACACCTAAATCCAGCACCTGGGCTTCTGTTTCCCTTGCTGAGACTCTCACCTCCCCAGGTGAGCATGTGACCTAAGTCAGACTAATGAAAATAAATCCTGTGACTTTTGACAAACCTGTTAGAACAGAGTGGCACTCTTTGTGCATGGGTTGGTAAACCAATAGGAGGTACACTTGAGAACTAGAACAGTTGAAAGCACAGCCAGGAGATCCAGGGACCAGATGCCCGATCACAGCCTCTGGACATCTGGATCCAGCTATGCCTGAACTGAACTTCAGTATTGCATGAGTCAGTGAATCACCCTCCCCCCACTTGTGCCATTTTAAATTGAGTACATACTCAAGGACTTGGGAGAATTCCAGGGAGTTGGTCAGTACCTGTCTCATTTGTCAATCAGTAGCAATTAGTCCTCCCCTAAGAAGCTGTCTCCAAGGCTCTGGAAGTCTGTCTGCAGAGATTTAGAATTGACAGAGGAGGAGGACAGACAGAAGGACATGGGAGGAAGTGAGTTTTAAAGGACCGGGTAGAAATGAAAAGTGTCCATCAATACTCTGTCTTCTCAAAAAAATGTGAAGGGAAAAATCTTCTTGGGAAAAGGGGATTACAGTCATTTGAGATCCTAGATAAACATTTAAAATGAATAAAATATCTTCTAAAACAAGCATGCACACACACACAGATACCCAATCTTTATGAGTGATTAGGAAGAAAAGTCACTGGCATCACAGGTTTTACACTCTTGCAAAGATGGGGATGGTTTACATGACTTCCACACATTATTAAAAATGGAAGGAATAAAAAGTTCCTTGTAGAAGACCAGGATTAAGCTTTCAGTTCCTATGTAAATCTTGGGAGAAGCCCATTTTAAATATGGTTTAAATAATCAGTTTCCTCATAAAGCAAACAAAAAGATGACATACCAAAGAGATTTTACTTTTCATGGAAAAAAAGTGTAAAAGTTTAAGGAAGATAAAAAGAAATCAAGAAAGAATGGAAATGTCAGCTCCCATATATTTGGAAGATAGAGTTGAAAAAACTTGATCTCTCTACTGTCGAAAAGATATTTTGTGCTGTGCTGTGCTGTGTGCTGTGTGTGTGTGTGTGTGTGTGTGTGTGTGTGTATGTGTGTTTTAGGAAAGTCATATTATGTAC